CTATGTTACACGATCACAAATAGACGATATCAGCACCAAACTCCTCACAGCTGTTACGTCACGCTTTGCTACTTTAACTGTACAGACTAGGGGAAGTAACCGCTGCGAGGAGTTTGGATCAGTACGTGATATGCACGGGCTATTTTTAGATTACCTCACCAAGAAGTTCAGTAGATCTAAATATAACTCGATCATGCGTGATTTGGTAAGCAGGACCACCCTTTGAAGACTGAATACTACTACAGCGTATAAAACTAATACAGACAAAAAACAATTATAAAAGAAACTAACTTTTGCGTCTTGGAAAACAATTGAAACGGAACAATTTCGTTTATAATTTATTACGGTTTAAACCGATAAATCAAGTAAAAATAGAAATCCTATTTATATAAACAAACTGGGATTACCGAAGTAACTAAAATAGCTTAGATTTCCGTAATATTACTTCGTCTGATTCTGCAGTATGACGGAATCGCCCGAATTGTCACGATTGCAATCGGATTTACATCGGCTATTATCATTAATCCGAAGAGTGACGGAAAAGACCGAAAAGTTGCGATTGGCACGATTGCGGCTGGTTTCCCGTTCAACCATGAACCAACAGATGTAAGCAGGAAACCACCTAACCGGAACAAGTTTTCCATATGAAATGGCTTGCAGCCGTGGCTTGGCTTGCTGCAAGCCAAAAAGGGGAGTAACTGCGAAAGGTCAAAAGACGACGGCAATATTTTTATTCGCGTTTTTGAAGTTGCAGACATGAAACTTTTCGATTTTTTCTACGGTAGAGAAAATTGTGGGATAAGGCGAGAAGGTTGCCCCAGAATTGGGATTTATTTGCAAAGGTATACAGGGATTGTATTCTTCATTTGTTTTCTACCCAGACACTATGTGGAGCCTAGCGGTTTTCATGTTTGTCATCTGTTTTCGCAAATAGACCCATTTATTTTGCGAGTCTGAAAGGCGTTGGAAACCACATGAAACTGACACATATCTCGTATTAATGATACAAAATCCACAAAAGAACGCTCGTTTTGCCTGTAGCATAAACGATTACAGCAGAAAGTGTCGTATCGATTGAGATAATCCTTTTAACTGCAGTATTAATGAACTGATCAAGTGACACAAAACGGATGTTGAATACATACACACATAATTATGTTATTAATTATTCATTTTATAATTATTTTAACACCTATGCGACCAGTGTAGATCCAGATCAGCTTGCACATCCATGCAAGGGAGTCAAAATCCAAAGGCTGAAGTCAGTAGTTCCCGTGAGCCTTGTTAGAATCAGAGACATAGAGATAAGCAGCTCTTATATACTTCATTGAAATAACACTCATGCCTATCAAAAAGTGAAAAATTAGGCATTTTGTAGCAAATAAAACTTAATGGGTGTACATTTGATCCTTTTTTCAGATGTATTACCATCATTGTTTTTTATCATTTACTGTTTCAACTTCTTGTCATAACGAGGCTTTGAATCTTGGCTATCGGTTTCATCTTCATTGGTCTTGTATTGCTTTACGTCGTGACTTGCTCCAATAAAAAGTAAATTGAATCTGCAGAAACTATGTTAAGGCTTTGTTCTTATCTGATAAATGTTAATGTATTATATTGTTGATTTATATTTATAAACAGGTGAACATTTGGTTGGACCATTTGACGAGTGTTTCTGCCAACAGAAAAAGGGGCAAGGCAAAGGCGTCCGAGACACAGTCTTTGAAAAAGGTATTCAGGCACAATGACATTATGAGTTGAATTTCATAAATGATTGCCTCAACATTAAATGAGTCTGAGGCCAAAAAACTCTTTTTTTCTGAAAGCCTTACAAAACATATAAGGGGTATTGCACTTCTGTGGTCTAAATATGTGTATTTTATCATTGACATGGTGGGGAATCATTGATATGGTGACCTGTGACGTAACATGGTATCTTAAAGTCACATTATGCATTTGTAAACTTTATTTGAAATAAAAGAGTATTCAGTTTCACACCAATGACATCAAGTAGAATTCTGATGTAAAAATTTGCATTTGATTTCTTAAAGACATGAAAGAAAATCTTCAAAATACGCTATAAATATATTGCGCCCACTAGCGCAAATGTAATAATTGAAGGTATGTAATAATTGAAGGTATGTTTGGATGAAAAAATAATTTCTGAAGAATAGTTATGCGGAAATGAGCCATTTTCTTCAATAAGAGGATAAGTATGATATGTTTATTCAGTAATTGAAATTTTACTCACAAAAGCATTATGTTCCTTTAAACTTAATATTCTCCTGAAAAAGCACAAAATTGTTTATAATGTCGCTGGGGGCTACTGCAAGTCCTGCCAGTTACGCATACTCAAAAATATTTTCTGTTAAACAAAGATATTGACAAAAATTCTCACATGGACACCAGAATCTGAAAGATTATCAATTGCTGCAATACCATGTCATGTAGTCTCCATATTACGTGATTCCCCACTATAATTGCAAGATTAGTTTGATAGACTTAGTACCAGCAGAATTGTTAGAAAATAATGTATTTAAAAAAAAATCAGTACCATTTTTGTTCCAATAGAATTAAAAACAACCTACTGTTTTATCTATCAAAAAAATATGTTAGAAATCTTTGTTAAGTTGTGCTACTAAATTATTAATTTTTAAACAATCCAGGTTCAAGCTTCTATCCAGGCCCAAGCTCCTATCAAGGTTCAAGCTCCTATATATCCCGACTCAAGCTCCCATCCAGGCCCCTGCTCCTATCCAGGATTTTGAGGAAAGTGCACCAGATTGTGAGTACACCATGCAACTTAGCTTAAGAAAATTATGTCCGTTCTTTTTGTAGCTTTGTGTTGAGCTATAATTGTCGTTTCTCCATGAAACTTGGTCAAAATGTTTGGCTGAAATCTCGGCAAAATTCAAGGTTGGGTCATGTGGGGTCAAAGACTATGTCACTAGGTCAAATCTTAGAAAAAGAATGCAAACACTTTAGAGGCCACATTTTTGGCCCATTTTTCATTAAAGTTAGTGTAAATGTTCAACTCTATGAAATCTAGAACATGTTCAAAATTAAGTCATGAGGGGTCAAAAATTAAGTCACTAGGTTAAATCTTAGAACATTTTTGGTCTAATTTAAATGAAAATTAATAAATTTGAAACCTTAAAGATGATAAAAATGCCCTCTATTTCAGAACAAGAGCGATCAGTAATCACATGTGTCGCCTCATGATGGCCAATTTCATGTTGGGACAAATTTTGTGACAGACGGACAGACAGACGGACAGTGCACAACTAGACTAACCACTTTGTACTGATCATTCCTGTAAAGTTTGGATGAAATTGCACCAGTAGTTTATGAGGAGTAGTCCGGACAAGCTTTTGCATATCTGGCAACACACAGAAAAAACACCTTTTTATCAAAGGGCCATAACTCGGCCAAAAAACATTCAACCGGAAAACCCGTGCAATATGCGCAAGTACTTGAGCTACAGATAAATCCTGTAAAGTTTCATTGAAATTGCATAAGTGGGAGAAGAGAAGTAGTCTGGACAAACTTTAAAAATAAAAATTATTAAAGGGCCATAACTCAAACAAAAATCATTGAACCGGAAAATGCTGACAATATGCACAACTAAACTTGGTACTGATCATTCCTGTAAAGTTTGGATGAAATTGCACCAGTAGTTTATGAGGAGTAGTCCGGACAAGCTTTTGTGTATCTGGCAACACACAGAAAAAGAAACCTTTTTATCAAAGGGCCATAACTCGGCCAAAAATCATTCAACCGGAAAACCCGTGCAATATGCGCAAGGACTTGAGCTACAGATCAATCCTGTAAAGTTTCATTGAAATTGCATCAGTGGTATAAGAGAAGTAGTCCGGACAAACTTTAAAATTAAAAATTATTAAAGGGCCATAACTCTTACAAAAATCATTGAACCGGAAAATGCTGACAATATGCACAACTAGACTTGGTACTGATCATTCCTGTAAAGTTTGGATGAAATTGCACTAGTAGTTTATGAGAAGTAGTCCGGACAAGTTTTGTGACGGACGGACGGACAGACAGACAGACGGACAGACAGACGGACAGACGACGGAGAAGTGATCCCTATATGTTGCCAATACTCCGTAGAGGCGACACAAAAACAATGTGGAAGTGTCCAGGTTTGGCCGCAGGAGGAGGAAGAATGTCTTTTTTAATGTCTTTTTGTGTTTAAATGTTAAAATAAAATAAGAAGTTAAAGTGTTGTAAGTTTTTAGCTCATCTGAGCTGTGAGCATGAAGCTATTGTGATCATGATCGGTGAATGTCTGTCTTCGCAAATCTGGTGTCCTCAACTTTTAGTGTTTTAACACTCTTAGAGGCCACAGATATGGTTCAATTAAAATTTAGCTTGGTCAGCATGCTTACCATCCCTACAGAAACTGGGTCATGTGGAGTCAGAAACTAGGTAAGTAGGTTTATTTTGTAGCTAAACTATAAATGTAAACTATTAAAGAGCTTATACGATCGATTGTGTGTCCGTGTCCGCATTGGTTTAAGTTTTTTAAGTCATACATTCTATTCTATGAAAGATATTTAATTGAAACTAGGTACGGTATTTAGTGGGACTACCACAACCATACTAAAAAGGTCTATAATCTTGATGCATTATTTTCAGAATTGTGCTCCTTTATTACTTGAAAAAACCCATTTTTATAAAAAAATATAAGTATCTTCAAAGTCTTATTATTTGAATACTATCAAAGTTATTAAACTACAATTGATACATATATACTCATTTGGAGTGACTTTACCTACCTTACTTCTGAGGCCCATTAATCTGGATTCATTATTTTCCTAATGATAAGCCTTTGTACTTATATTTTTCATTGTTTTTCTGATAACAGTTTTATTTATTGATTGATCTATTAGATGTTTACCCTCTCCCCTACCCCCGGGGCATTTGATGCACCAAGCAGGCTCAAGGGTGGGGATTTAGACAAAATTGGTTGTCTCTAGGGTGGGGATTTAGACTTCAAAAATTTTAAGATGTCAAATTCCCCTGGGTCAGCCCGCCGCCCCCCCCCCCGGGCATAATATTGATAGGTGCATTATGATTGCTCTCACCAGTGTGTATAGTCATATGTCCTTTACGACTGTTTTTCCATGCAAATGCACGATCACAAATCTCACATTTATAATTCTTCTCACTGCTGTGTAATTAAGTCCTATGTCTTTTTAGACTACATGTACAACTACGCGTAAAAGAACAACTTGCTTATCGGTCACAATAGTGGGGTTGGGACTGAAACTGGTGGTCTTAAAAGTGGAAAAGTTAGGTGGTCTTAAATGTAGATCTTGTTATCATTTAAAGCTGCACGCCTCCAGATGAGCCAAAATATTTCAAGAAAATGAAAATTGAGAAAAATGTACTAATATTTCAAGAAATGGAAAAACAAGCAAGATCAATGTTGAAATTTACATGGTATTTGCGATTTAAGACTGATTTTGCAGTATTTTATCACCATATTTCTACTTCGTTACTAAACAGTAATTTAATTAAGGTGTGTTTTTTTTTGCACATTTTTACCTCTTTTTGGTTATTTGCATGGATTGTAAGTGCCAATTGCAATATGTAAATAATTTTACTTGTTCACCTTACAATATTTTACTGTCAAATACATTATCAAAATTTCATGAAATTTAACATGAATCTGGAAGCGTGCTGCTTAATAAATAAAGAACAAAAAATTCCATTCTTATAAGAATTGTTCTTAAAAGAGGGGTGGTCTTAAAAATCAAGGATGGTCTTAAGTATGGGTTCTACTGTAATCTAATTTGAATAGAAGGAATTAATATGTACACTCTTTAAATTAATTAATTATTATTACCAGGACATGATAAAACATTTATGTGTAAAGTTTACAGTTATTGTGAAAAATTCAAGGTTATTTCATAGGAATGGATACTAATATGTTGTTTACAGAATTATCCTTATGAGCAAATAAACAAACATATACAATGTACAACTTCTATATTCAATTCTATGTTTATTTTGTTTTAACATAAATACAATGTTCATAGCCAATACATGTAGTATAACGGCTGCACAAGACAAAACAATACATATTTAGAAGATGACAAGAGGATGATAATAACAATTACATATTTTGGACACAAGTAAAACCATGATAATAACAATTACATATTTTGGACACAAGTAAAACCATGATAATAACAATTACATATTTTGAACATGAGTAAAGCATGATAATAACAATTACATATTTTGGACACAAGTTAAACCATGATTATAACAATTACATATTTTGGACACAAGTAAAACCATGATAATAACAATTACATATTCTGGACACAAGTAAAACCATGATAATATAACAAGGGAAACGGACAAAAGCCCTCCCGGACAAAAGCCCTCCCGTCAAAAAATGACAAGGCGGACAAAAGCCCTCCCGTGAAAATGACAGGGCGGACAAAAGCCCTCCCGTGAAAATGACAGGGCAGACAAAAGCCCTCCCGTGATATTAACAGGGCGGACAAAAGCCCTCCCGTCAAAATGACAAGGCGGACAAAAGCCCTCCCGTAACAAAAATAAATATGTATGTTGAATACTTGTGTTTTTTCATTGCACTCAACATATTAAAATTGTTACATATATTTCTTGTTGTTTTCAATTGGCCTTAGTATGTGTATGGGCTAGAACCACCTTTTATTCTGAGTATACCTTCCTGAAATGTTTAACGAGGTAACTTTTTACACGAATGTCGTTAAAAACAAAGTCACTTTTGAAAGTAAATGACTCATTGCAAGGTACATTATAAATGTTTGTTTGTTTGTTTGTTTGTTTGTTTCATTTTACGCCTTTATCCAACAGTATTTCAGTCATATAGGCGGGTAGTTTCCTAACCATCGTTCCTGGAGAGTTACACCAGTACTAGACTACCTTCCTCCGCGCTAAACTACCAAAGCATCTCCCGGGGATCGAACCCACGCCAGAGAGGTAACTGGATTAGAAGTCATGTCTTATACTTTTAAGTTAGATAATTTTAACTTCTTTTTATCATTTATTACTCTATTAATATTAACTTCACATAGGTGTAATCCTTCATATCTACGTGAATAAATATGCACTTACTGATTTTAGCACTAATTATTCAGATGCCTCTCAGGAATGTGCTCAAGCTCATACAAACACGGTTATGCCAATGGAAAACAAAATATTCATGATTACAATTTTAATATGTTGAGTGCATTGAAAAGAAAATATAAACTATTCAATGTACATATATGTATTTGCTGCGGGAGGGCTTTTGTCCGCTCTATTATTTTCACGGGAGGGCTTTTGTCCGCCAAGTCATTTTTACGGGAAGGTTTTTGTCCGCCTTGTCATTTTCATGGGAGGGCTTTTGTCCGCCCTGTCATTTTCACGGGAGGGCTTTTGTCCGCCTTGTCACTTTTTGACACTGGAGGGCTTTTGTCCGGGAGGGCTTTTGTCCTACACTCTAATAACAATTATGGTTACAGTTACTGTCTGTGGTGTACATATGGGAAGGCTGTTTAAAAATGATATTTTACCGAGACAAAATTTTAATAAGTGTAACAACCAGATAAATGTTTTTACTGGAATGTAGTTTTTTAGACAAATGTTTTAGCTACACTAAGACCATGGTCTCTTACAAATATCAAACATTGTTACATACTATTTCAAATGGTAAATAATATTTTATAGTTTAAATAGTCTTAGAATGGTTTAATTGAACAGTGTAAAGTTTCATAGTGAAAACAG